CCTAAGTCAAGAGATTTTTTTTTTCCGAAAGTGCTCTTAAAAATATTATACTTTCCAGGCCCTGTTGTCATACTTCATTTATACTGTATCTAACCTTGAGAATTTTCTCATCTGTAACTAAAATACAGATAGAGTTATTAATAAGTTTGCAAACATTAAATATTACAATTCTGACAGTGGATATAAGAGAACATTGCACAAAAAAGAACTTGGGAAGTCCCACTGGTTCTGCTGCCACTGTACTGTGTCTGACAAATAGCAATACGATATTACTGTAAGAATAACTGCCTGTTACTATATAGTTTATTATCACATTAATTCTTGGAGTCCTGGACTTGAAATAATTCTCTGAGGTGATGAGAGTGTTGTGTCTTTTGTTAATATGTGAGACACTGACACCCAGGTGGAGGGGTGCTGCTGAAATGGAATGGGCAGGACCAGATATGCTAAATGTCTGCACAGCAGGGCTGAAAACTACTGTGAGTAGAAGACTCAAAGAATTAATGTGAGTAAAACATGTACACAAAATAAAGCTGCATATTTCCAATGTGCCAAGCATCACTGAAGCACAGGAGATCCAGAGAGAAAGAAGGGCGAGTCCCACTACAGTCACGCAGGCATGCCATAGGCCACAGCAGGGCAGGTGTGTGTCTCAATAACTCCAACCAGAGAGGCATGGATGTGTGCATAAGGAAGAAATATGGATCATTCAGTAATAGCGAGAGGAGAGACAGAAAGATGAAAGTGAGGTAAGATGAGCTGAGTTAATGAGAACCTGTGAGATCCAGAACTCAGGCAATAATAATGTAGAAGGAAAAGAGGAGACAGATTCAACAGTGATGCAGAGACGTAGAATCAGCACTATCTGGAATCAGTTCAGAGCTCAGCCTTTAAGGGAGACTCCTCAAGTTTCTGTCTTGAGTAACTGGGGAATGGTGTTATATCTCACGACTACAGGCAACATAGGAAAAAAAGTTTGGGGTAAGGTAGTGGGCTGGAGGTGATGAATTTCGATTTGACAAATGGATATGTTGAGTCTGAGCTGCTGTTAAGGACAGGTGCCCAGAAAGTTTAGAAATCAAACCTGAAACTCACATGAGAACTGCCCTAGATGCTTTTCAACTTTTCCATTCAAGATGGAGGGTATAAAATGTACGTTAAATGCTTAGTTGTAAGATTCTAGGAAAAACATTGCAATGTTTTATCACAGTTATTTTTAGTCTTGAGATCTGAGGAAACATGTAAGAGAGAAATTCCAGTGGGAGAAGAAAAAGAGAAGCAGAGAGAAAGCTGATTACAACCTGGAAATAATGTAAAACAGGATCTTAGGTCAGGACATTTAATACTTAGGGTTTACTATGATGCTCAGAATTAACAACAAAAATTATGGAAGAAAGGGGGAAGGAAGAAAAATAAGAAGGGAGGGAGGGAAAAAATGATGGAAGCAAGTAGGATAGGGAGGGAAAACAAGCAGAAAGAAATGGTTTATTGGAGTCAAGGAGGAAGTGATTTATTGAAAACATGGTTCAATCAAGTAACCAAAGATTCTCCATAACCTGATGCCAGGAAAATCTGCCAGGTAATTATTTCTTTTATATATTTAAAACAAACAAACAAACCCAAAAGACAAAAAACAGTACTTCTCAATCATTTCCACACAGAGACCAAACTGAGGGGTGAGAAGTGAAAGAGTTCCTATGTCCAGGGAACTGGTAAAGAATCTCACCATTGTGGGCGCAAAGCATTGAATGAATAGGTAGCTGAGGAAAATGATACTCTTAAAACTTCTATAGAAGAAAAAGAAAGAGGAAAAGGAAACTAAAGAAATAAATGGATAGATAAATGACCTCGATGCCATACAAAGTTCCTATCAAGAGACACAGACTCTTGTTTCCTTTGATGTATTTAATTCAAATGAACATTTATCTTGAGTATAACTGACTGCACATAAGGAATTACAGAAGGTACTTCAGGGAAAAAGAAGGATTTCCTGGCATGAGCATCTAAGTGGACTTGGGTGACTCTGGAGAAGGGGCAGAGCTCAGGTGGGCAGTCCAGTCCCCTTCCACCTCTGTGCTGTGTCCTTCGGCATGGTGGTCAATCAAACACATCAGATTAAGAATGAGAAAGGAGTTCATGATGGCCAGTGGCCGCTCCTCACTTCTGGCTTCCCTTCCATTAGCTGCTCACAAATTCTCCCCAAACTATACAGAAGGGAACCTGCAAGTTCATGAGGTACCAAGCAGCATGGTCCTCCTTAGCCAGAGTCTAGAAACCCACAAAGAAGTCTTGCATTGTGTGGTTCAAATTCTATCCGAAATAAGAAAAAGTTAAATGGTGTTTGAAGTACTGAGTGGCCAGCACACTGAGGGCTATTGTAGGAGAAAACTGAATATTCTAATGAACGAACCCAGAAGTGGAAATGTCATGGGTTTTTATTGCATACTTGTCAGGCTTATTATAGGGTGGTATATTTGATATAAAAGCTGCCTATCAATTACAAAATTATACGCAAAAAATTCTAAGGGTTTGTATACACTAGACTTACGAGGTATAGAATTCATGTAGTGCCAGAGAGCCCTTTGGGACCATCTAAAAGAATATCATTAATTTTTACAGTGTACTTCCATTTCTGGAGCCATTCCAGCACTGGCTTTCTATAAAAATCATTTCTTTAGAATTGTGCCATTTGCTTGTAGCAACATCACAGGAGCAGTAGTGTACCACATGCTGCTACTTAGCAACTTAGTCTGTAAGTCCCAAAGCATGTACTGATTTGAAAATTGAACAGGAATTACAATTGTTGAGAGATACTAAGTAAGCTTGGATTACGAAACTATGCAGGTGCTTGATATTGTATATTGTGTAGGAAAAGGAACAAAACTATATATCTTTTTTCCCCTGCAGATGACTAAAGTCTTATTTATTGTTGCCGAAAGGGGTAAATTGATTAAAATTCCCTAAAAGAATACCTGGTAATGAATTCTTGAACACACCATATTACAGTAAACAAAAGGAATGTTAAGGGTAAAATTAGTAAAGGGCATTCAACTTATGTAATTTGTGAAGCTTATTTCCTGCCATGGTATGTATTATCTTACATTAGTTGAATTTTTTCAATAGCATATTTTAAAAACATTTTCATATGTGCTGCATTATTAAAAAATAGTTTGCTTCTGGCACACAAACCTGTCATATCTTTACAAAGCACATAAAGTATTTGGAGCTCCTTACTCCTTCATAAGTTATCACTGGTATTTAAAACATTCTTGGTAACTGGACTGAAATATTAAGAAAAATAATGTTGTTTGATTTTAGTCAGGGATTAATAGCATTCATGGTACTTGAATTTAAAAATCTAAAAAGCCAAGTTGTTATGATGTATATGCTTTGAATTTCCAATCCTTTATCCAAAAGTCTTTAAGACGGACATAATGATTCTCCGAAAGGGAGCAGCTGCTTTATAACAGCAATCATTTATTGAGTTTGTGTTTCTACTGTTTCAAACAAATTCAATTAGCCCTTACACTTCAAAACCCTAAAGGCACCAAAGAGATGATACCAGGTTGCTTTCATCTAATAGTAATACTAAACTTGTCAGTACAGTTTTGGGATTGATGGTTAGAAGAAAATTAATAGTAACATTTTTCATTTTTTAATCAAACAGTCCTATTCAGAACTACCTATGGATCTTGGCGGCTACTTAATTGAATGAATTCAGTTTAAGTAATGATTCTAAACACGAAGCCCAACCTTCCAAAGGTATTCTGAGAGTGATTGACTCTGTTGAATGAAAGGAAATGTAGAACGGCTTTTTGAACTCAATGATGACCTTCTCATCTGAACAATACTGTATAGTTTCCAGAATGTCTACCAGTGAAGGCAGTGATCCTAATAACTTCTAAATGCAAAGTTCACAGAGAGGCAGGCCTGCCTCTGTTTTGAGTTAAACCTGAGACATTTTGTTCTTAGAGAAATTTCAAAGCCCCGTGAAGTGCACCCCTGACATATATATTAGATTTAATTAACTGACAACCACCATGAAGAAAAATAGTTTTATTTTTGTTCTCTATTTCCCCACCCCTCTCAGTTATCAAATATATTTGGGCGGATATGTGGGCATTGAAAACAACTGTTTTCAATGTTTGAGTTTACACTATAGTTACTGACACATGAAACTCCAGGCTACCATGGTTTTTACTCTTCCAGAAAAAATATGTTTAAGTCCACAGAATGCTCCTGTGAACTCTTCCTCACTTTCATTTATTCATTCATTTATTTTTACTTACAGTATTCTTACATATCATATTTTAGTGGCCCCAGAGGGCAGTTACTGTTTTGCTTCAAATACCCATTCTGGATCAAAAGGCCTGGTCTTAAGTATATAAAAATAAATAGCCAAACATTCACTTTTATAAATGTAACCACTTACATTTTCATTGGACTTTTGTTGTCACGTCTCATGATTAAACACCTTGTCAACCATTCCCAGTGAAATGGATACAGACGTGCCCTTGAAATGTTTCCATAATATCACGTGTTTTGGCTTGAAAGCAGCCATAAGAGCACTCTCTAGCTATGGGATTCTGGTGATCAATGTAACATTTTATTGAAATGCCCCAATAGTTGATAATTAAAGCTACCTGTGACATGTGTAGCTTATAATGATTAACTCGTCTACAGTCAGAAGCTCAAATAACCTGCACCTGTAAAGACTTTATTTCCTAAAGGTAAAACAACTGTTTAGGAAAGATCATGCTGGCAAAACAGCTGCTTGCCGTTCTGGAGAGGAAACAAGGTATTATCTTACAACAAATGCCAACTCTGGGGTTTTATCAGCGCGATCTCATTAACTGGAAACAAGGCTTAAATGCTTTGTTTATAAATTATGATTATTCCTGATTGCGGCAGTTACTGATAGTGCTACTCATTTGCAATGCAACTCTTTGAATTTGTTTAATTACAATTTGAAACAAGGCAGAGAAGATTAATTAACCCACCTGGCTGGCTGGCACATAGTCCTGGCTCGGCTCTGTCATGCTCATATACATGTTCTCACCGTCAAACTGCGAATGAAATAATAGTAAACATTCAGCAATCTTGACTGTGTGCATGTTTGTTGTTGGTTTTTTTTTTTTTTTCACCATCAAACTGGAAAACAGTAGCCATAAAACAAAATACTGTGGTTGGAAATACGGAAAATCTGTCACAGCAAGAGAACCATGTCTATTCTTTGATGCTTCTGTTGTCATCTTTCCTGACCCTGGATGTCAGTGATTGGGAGTAATTAGTGCTCTAGTAATTACAGCAAGCAAGCAAGAAATGAATGGTTTCCTTTCATCTGCAATCTGTTTTAAAACAAAATGGCTCATTCTGCGTACCACATATATACATATTGCAGTTCAGCTGTAATGAAGTATTAAATGGATGGCATGATTTCTGAAAGAAAAGGATAATGGAAAATATACTAAGGCACAGCTCAACACATTCTGAGTTTGGTTCTCAAAAATGAAAGAGTGCAGAGTTTTCATAATAGGCTAAAATTGGCTTCATCACAATAGTCTTACGGTTAAAAAATTTTAACTTTATAATAATATTTGAGAAGAGCATGTGACACTACAAGCATGTCTAAGAATGGTAATAACAGTGGATAACAATACAAATATACAGACTCAATGATCACATTTTCCTCTCCGAAGATTTTCAAAGACATAGAATTAATGTAAGTATTACAAATGCATAGAAATCCATATACAAATTCACAAGTTAGGAGCAAGATGGGAGGAGAAAATTCCTAGGGGCAGTACACCTACAAAACTGTAGAAGACTTCAAGCAACAATAACAACATCAACAACAAACTTTTCATTATTTGGGTTTTTGAAAGCAGTAATCACTCCATTCAGACTTAATCCTCAGCTTAAAAGTGCTATCTTTAGTCACGTGATAAATGGGTAAAGCATTTCCCTTTTAGTTAAAGGAAAAATTTTCCCAAGGAAAATAATACAGCCAAAAAAAAAAAAAAAAGAAAATAATACAGCCAGCTTCAAAGAGCTGAATCTGAATATACGTTCATTGCCAGACTAATTTCAGACATGGGAATTTGAATATCTGGAAGGTTATTTTTCAGGACAGAATAGAGTTAGTGACGGAGGTAGAAGGCGCAGTACTGTGGACATACTTGTATACCATTAGAATAATTATGCTATAGACACAGCATTCCACCACCTGTGAGCTGCTAACAACAACACAGACACACCTCAGCTCTGGAACTGGCTCTGAACTGCAGTCAGCAGCACCGGGCGCCCTGAAGACCCACATAAAGACCTCCCCAAGGACACGTGAGGCACTCATTAAGTTCAAAGAACAAAAAGGTTTCCCCACACATCATCTTGAAAATATTTATATTTCATGTTATGTGAATAGACGTATCTAAACAGATCTGAAATCACTCACTGAAAGATGTGGTTGTTAGGACAAATCAGAAATAGCACACCCAGAAAAGAAGATCTGGACATTTTAGTTGCTTTGTCATCTGGCTTAGGAGCCCTGAGTCCGATTGACTTACCCACAGTTGGTTTTCCATCAGTCAGGTGAATGCCTTCAACCCAAGATAGTCTAGCTTCAGGGGATCTGCCTGTCACTTCTACCAGCTCAAAACCTAACAAAGAGCATCATTTAGCATTTCTCCACCCCCGCCCACTGTTGGTTTGTTTATAAATGTTTTTAATGTTAAGATGCCAAAGAATCATTTAAAATATGGACAGTTTCTCTGACTGTAGCAAACTAAACTGAACAGAAGTAGTGAAGTGAATCAAACACCCCTCTGCCTGTGCATATTCTATAAATGTGTTACTTTCCATTTCATCTTCTCTTACTCATTTTCTAAATCTGGTGTCATTTTCAAGCCAACTAAAGCTTTGAAGTTTTGGTTTTAGTCTTTCCAAAATGTGTGCTAATTGAGTATATTCAAGTTACTGCTCCTAAGAACTCTTTCCTCAAAAAAGTATCAGCACTTAAGTAATATTGAGCCAAGGCTGAAACAGCATTTTAAGTAAAAGATACGTTGCTAAAGGAAAAACTATTTTTTTTTTTCAAGTACATTCTATGTATCTGTAACCAGTATTTTTGCCTGGAGAATCCCTATGGACAGAGGACCCTGGTGGGCCACAGTCCATAGCATCACAAAGAGTCGGACACAATTAAAGTGACTTAACACGCACACACAACCTACCTATATCTTTAACTGATATGTATTAAGTGATTTAATCTTCACAGCAACAAAGAGTTAGATATTATTATTATTACCCATAAAGGCAGAGAGAAGTAAAGCTAGATATTCAAAGTTACACAGCTACTAAGAGGCAGGGCTGGGATTCAAAGCCAAGAAACCTGGTTTTACAACACATGCATGTAACCCGCAAAACAAATACAAATATATTATGAGCCATACATGATGAGTTAGCTATCAATTCTGAAAATAATGCCAATATATTATCAAAGAAGATTGATGACACTATCTCTATGATGTTAAGATATTGTACAGAATTTCGACGGTAAAAGTGAAAGTTGCTCAGTCGTGTCCCACTCTTTGCAACCCCATGGACTATACAGTCCATGGAATTCTCCAGGCCAGAATACTGGAGTGGGCAGCCGTTCCCTTCTCCAGGGGATCGTAACCAACCCAGGGATCGAACCCAGGTCATCCACATTGCAGGCAGATTCTTTAACAGCTGAGCCACCAGTTTTCAAAGAAAGCTGAGGCTTTCAAAGAACAAGAGTCCCAGTGAGCTGACAATTTAGTAATCAGGCTGGCAGAATATTCCTGGATGCTTTATAAGTAAGCCTTAAAAGACAGGGAGGTGGTTTGCTGGTTAATTTTATGTGTCAATTTAGCTGGGCCACCAATGTCCGGATGTTTGGACAAATATTCTGGGTGTGTCTATGAGGGTCTTTGAACAAAATTAACATCTCAATTGGTAAAAATAAATAAAGCAGACTGTCCTCCCTACTGTGGGTAGGCCTCATCCAATCAGTTGAATGTCTGAATAGAACAAAAAAGCTGACACTCCTGAGTGTAAAAGGGAAATCTTCCTGCCTGACTGCTTGACCTGAACACCTGTCTTCCTGCCTTCAGACTCAAACTGAAACATCAGCTCTTCTGGGTCTCAAGCCTGCCAGCTTTTGCATGGGAACTATATCATTCATTATTGTTTGAATCTTTTTTAATGAAGGAAAAAACCCAAAAAAACTCCTGGTCTCCAGCTTCCCAACTACACATCTGGGGACTTCTCAGCCTCGATAATCACATGAGTCAACTCCTTGTAATAAATCCTCCCTTCCTGCCCCTACCACTTCTATTACTATCAAGATAGTCACAACTCCTCTGAAAGTTTATCTCTGGAAGACCTGCAATGTAGAGATGCAAAAAGAGATGACTTTGATTTTTTTGCTATGAGAGTGTCTGGCCTCACCACGAACACTCCCTGTGACCCAGTATATGTCACATACATCCACACCTCTTTGTCCAGACTGTCTTCCTCCTCTTGAAATGTTTCTTAGATCCTTCAGTTCCCCTTAGTCAGGGCTGGGCTGTCTCTAGCCTCTGGGCTCCCCAAGGTAGCCCTCTGGTTCCAGGCGGGTTTTGTTATTGGGGGTTTAACTCCCTAGGGCTGTGAGCTACCAGAAGATAGTACACATCTTGGTAATCTTTAGCGTCCTTATGGCTTAGGGATAGCACATAAAAAGTCCTCAGGAAATGTATAATTAACAAAAATTAAACTGTATTTGCTTGATTGCATAGATCCCCTTCCGACAGAAGGCAGTGACTTGAAAGGAGGGAGAATATTCAGCTTTCAGAAAATGGTTTGAAGGCTTCTAAATGCGAACAATTCATAGTCTTACAGTAGATTAAAACTGGAGCAGAATTACAATAGGAGCACAAGCTCTTACAAAAAAAAAAAAAGGTAAGGAAATAGCCGAGACAGCAATAATTAAATGCTGGAACCTGTTCTTCCTCAAGATTTTTATTCAATTAAAAAACATGTAGATTGACCAAGAATCAAGAGATCTCAGTGTAAATTAACTTAAGGCCTCTTTCCGAAGAATTCTGAGTTACCAAAGATACACGTATGTCAAAACAAGCCTGGTCATTCCTCTTTGTGTTTGGACAAACTCTTGTGCCCAAGAAGAAAAATAAGCCAAAATTCCAGTGCCCCAGCCCACCCTCTCCCCGCAGACCCCTATCAGGTTAACATCATCCTTGCACTTTTTACAGCTCCACCCAACCACACCCTGTCCAGGAGCTGGCTCCAGGATCTCAACAGATCTTGTGCTGATGCAACATTCTTAGAATGCCTCCATGTCTTGGGTTCATATCAAGTTGCCATCTGAAGTTGAATTATAGTGAATAAAGTCCCAGAATTTCAGTCTTAGAATCCAAAGGTGTCATGTCTGAACCCCTGGAGTTATGACTAAAGAAACAGACTTCTTATTGGTCATGTAGTCCATCTGGGTATAGAAGCAAAGTCTAGAATTCTAGTAGAAGAGTTTTTCATTATGACATACTGCTTTATACTCCATCAACCATTATAAGTGAGGGATTAGACTCTACGGCTACTGTTTTAAACTCCATCACAAATAATAGGTGGGGGACCATCCACAATGCTTTGTGTGTGGCTTGTTTGCATGCCCTGCAGTCTAAAAGACAAAGTATTTGCATTATTACACTAATGACCCCAGTTCACTTCATCTGGACCACATATTAGATAAAACTTATTCATAATTGTTGCAATAATATTCTTTTATTAAAAATAATTAACTGCATTTCCTTACTCCTTGCATTTGTCACAGCTATTATTTTTAGAATTCAGCTGAATTTAGGCATTATAACTTTTCAAAATACATCTAAGCATCCTAGGACTTTTAATTTCTGTGTATTCTCAATTTAAAACCTGAAGCAAAGTTTGAAGGAATAAATAGGCTGACTTATTTAAATCTAAATGTAAATGGCATCAACTCAGGATTAGCCTTTCTGACCAAGTGCTTTAGACTCTTTCTCGTGTTTTT